CTCCAGCCACAGCTGTCCCCAGAATGGAAAGCACTTCAGAGCTGCAACATCTGCTGGGAATGTTGACACTTACCTCTCCTCCTGTGGCAGCGTCGGTCGCTGCATAGACCGTTCCGAAAGCCCTAGAAAGAAAACAGCAGCGAAGAAGAGAATGAAAGCCAGCCCAGACAGGAGATCTCTGCTGCCTGGAGTGTTTAGAAAACACCTGGTTCCATCTATGCTTCAGCCAAGAGCAGAGCAGCCCACCAGCCCTGTGCCATGCAGGGGATCCAAGAGAAAAGTTGGGTGCAACATGAAGGGCTGGAACAAATCTCAAACGTACGGCCCAGATTAATTTAATTCAGACCCCTCCCTAAGGTGGGGGAGCACGTCCACAAAAACTGGAAAGTACTATATTTCCTTCCTTTTCCTTTTGGCCTTGCTGAGTGCTCAGATCTCTTACTGCTTTGTTCTCAGATCCCTCCTTTGAATGTCTCTGCCAATCTCAGGCAACACCCCATTCTGAGAAGCCTCAACACATGTGAGGGGCCATTTGAGGAAAGGATCTAGAAATGGCTTTCTCCTCTGGCCTGTAAGGAAACCAGTCCCCAGCCACCTTTGAGGTCATTTGCCATCATCAGGATGCATTTTCCTCTCAACTGCATTGACACTGGGTCTATTACTGAATTAGGTTTTACTACTTCTACTACAAAAGAGAGTTTCTTTTTTATCTCTGTTTTCCGTTTCTAAACGATGTGGTTATACTCCTGACCACTGACTATTGTTTTCCACAAAATGTTGGAAGTTCCTGAGAACTGTTATCTGACAGCTCTCAGGGGGTCAGTTGCTCTTTTCGGCAGACTTACCCACTGGCAATTTTTTCCCATTCAGTGTAGTTCTTCATAGGATCTCCCACACTCACAATGCTCCCTGAAAGAAACCAAATGAAGGATGGTCACTTCAGAATGACGATACCAGCCTCCAGCAGGTCAGAACTGCAGCTCCTCTGCCTGGGGCTGTGAGCTGAAGTCAGTTGGGTAACAACAACAACAACAACAACAACAACAACAACAAGAGAGGCAGATCTGTAGTCCAGATGGCTTCCCCAAAGACTGGTTTTCTACAGTCCTTTGAAGAGTTACGTTGACAGGAAACTGGGAGAAAGAGGGAGAAACATTGCGAGGAGACAGAAAAGAACGGGTAGCAAGGCAAGTGTTTGTCGTCTAAGAATATTAGCACTGCCCTATCAGGCAAGAAATGCAGAAGACATACTCAGTTTCTCCAGGCCGTCCTCCACTGGCCTCTTTTGTTCCCAGTTGGTGCTGCTGGAGGAACTGCTGGAAGTGCTCCTGTAGGAGATCTCAGGTGTGGGAGTGTTGTCTTTGTCAGCAGCTTCCGGTGCAGCAGCTTCCAGGGCAGTGGAAGATTTGGTTCCAGAGCATGTATTGGTCTGTGACAAGAAATCAGTTTGTGTCAGAAAGGAGGCTTGCAGGGATACTTCTCATCAGTATTTCCCAGCTTTAGGGAACAGCCGTTAAGTTCCAGTCCTTCTCAGAGACCGACCTTGTCTTGCCATGGTCGAGCTGCATAGGACTCTTCTCAGCCAACTTTGGTCATGTAAAAGTTATGGGTGTAGTTTAAAGTGTCCATTGAGCTACTTAGATAGTCCATGGAGGAGGGCAGGGACCTCCATTGGACAGTTTCTCCTAGGTATCCACACGCAGCCAGGCTGTGAACTGTGCCTCTGGAGCGCTGGCTCCACTGGTGACAGGGAGGCTGCACAGACACTGTGGGCCAAGTTTCTCCCCATTTACAGACACAAGGCTACCTCTCATGCCATACAGAGAGAAACTCAC